AGAATAACGTTGCAGAAGCCCAGTAAAGGTACCTCATGGCTCAGTACTGACTACAGTGGTACCTCGACTTACGAACTTAATCCGTTTTGGAATGGCATTCGTACGTCAAAAAGTTCATAAGTCGAAGTACTATTTTCCATCGAAATGCATGGGAACGGAATTAATCCGTTCCAGCATTTCAAAAAGGTCTCAAATGGCTTCCTCCGATGTCGGGGGGAAAGCCCTTTGAGACCTCCAAAGGTGCTGATCATGATGGCGGGGACCCCTAGGGAGGTCTCCCAGGGCTTTCCCACCACAAAGGGAGATCTCCCTGGGGGTCCCTGTCACTGCGATCGGTACCTTCGGAGGTCCCAAAGGGCTTTCCCCCTGACATCGGATGAAGCCGTTTGAGACGTCTGAAGGCAGGGAGAAAAGGTGGGAAATTCGAATTTCCAGCCCTTTCTCCCTGCCTTTTTGCCTTCGGAGGTCTCAAACAGCTTCCTCTGATGTCAGGGGGAAAGCCCTTTGAGACCTCCGAAGCCACCAATTGCTCCGTTCGCAAAAAAATGGCATTGACTTGCGAACAGAGCCTCGACCTCGTTCGTAGGTCGAGGCTCCGTTTGCGATGCCAATTTTTGCGAACGGAGCCGTTCGTAAATCGAAAAGTTTGTATATAGGGACGTTTGTAAGTTGAGGTCCCACTGTAGATAGCTCAGTGGCTTAGCTACCTGGCTGCAGAGGCGAGGATTGGGTGTTCCATTCCTTACTGTGCCTCCAGGGAGAAAAGCCAGCCTGTGTGGCTTTGGATAAGCTGCATAGTCCCAGGATGCCCCCAGAAGAAAGGACCTCGGACTATTTTCTACATGGAAGACCCTGAAAAGGGTTCCCATAAGTCAGAACTGACTTGATGGCACATTGTTATTATGATATGGATATCAGATAAAAGATTCCAAAATGGTTTGAAATTAACATACAGTATTTTTTGGTGGTTGTAATATAGAGCTGTCTTCTGTTCCCTTATAGGAAACTGAACAATGACACTCAAAGCAAGCTGCACATGGCTACAGTTAATTTCCTTATTCATTAATTTTTCTCACTTTCTTGCATGTCTCAGTATTATCTATGTTTGAACCAGACATAAGGCATTGCTTCAAACTGAAGACTCTCCTCTTTAAAGCAAGGCGTATTTCCATCTCCTTTGAGCGTATAAGATTATAGAACCTTGATTTTGTCCCCCCCCCCGTCAAGATAAGTGTACGTCATAAGGGTGATGTTCTTATAGAGGTCACATTCCTTTCAGTTTCCACATCACGGCTTATCTTTCAATGCTAAATAATTTCACAAGATAAGCTTTCTTAGAGGCCTCTACAAATATATCTTTCTTTTATATGCAAGAACCAGTTTTTACCCCCGTTGGTGTGTCAAAATAGTAAAAGGCAGTAAAACCACTTTTTTAAAACATAAAAAGCACAAAACCAGCACGTAGGGGATCATATTTGGTAGCTCCATCTGTGTTGGTTTCATTGTAGGGCTGTGTACCGGTGTTGGCAAACTGTCATTGGTTTTGTGCCTTTATTGTGAGTGCCATCGCAGCAAAAACAATTTCTAGTTTACATTTAGGATTGAAAGCTTTCTGGCATGCTGTGCGTCAAAGATTAGGGATGAGCAAATCTATCCGTTTTGGTCCTTCTCGGTGCCTCCCCCAACCTGTACATTCATTCTGTTCATATTTTAAAGCCCATGTGGAAATGACATGCATTTCCATACTTAATTTCTAAGGGGTGCAGTAAAGTAGGCATCAGTACACACATTTCTCCAATCTATACTTTTGAAACAAGCAATTTCCCTTCATTTAATGCATTTTTATTCCAATTGTTGCCTGCGTATTTTTTTTCACTGAAGAATTATCATGCAAATACCTGCGAAACCGCCATTTGATTATCAGTCTCCGTATTAGGTTGTCTGCTGCACATTAAGTAGATCTGTATGGAAATTAAGACTAATACAGAGAACAGATGTAGCACAATGGTTAGGCTCTCTGTTTGGGACTTGTGAGCCTCTGCTAAGCCATGAAGCTGATTAAACTGACTTTAATGTTTTAATGGTTGCATCTGTTTTTATCTGCAACTTTTATTCTGTTATGATACGATATAACGAAGCTGGAAAGCTACTTTGTTGTGGAAAGGTGAGGTAAAAATGTAATACATCAACTCATGAGGTGACCTGCAGCTGGTCACTGTTCTTTCCAGTTTGGCCTACCTCCCAGGGTTATGGTGAAGACAAAGTTTGGGGGACATTAAGCCCTGTATGGCATGCTGAGGTCATTTAGAACAGTGGTCCCCAACCTTGGGCCTCCAGATGTTCTTGTACTACAACTCCCAGAAACCTTCACCACCATCTCTGCTGGCCAGGATTTCTGGGAGTTGAAGTCCAAGAACATCTGGAGGCCCAAGGTTGGGGACCACTGATTTAGAATATCGACATTTTTAATGAGCCCGTTTCTAAACAAATGTTGGCAAAAGCAGAAGGGGAGAAAGACAAAATATTATAGCACTTTCAAGACTAGCAGATCTATTGAGTAGTGGCCAAAATCTTGTTGCTTCACTTAGTAAATGGCACTAGAGTAGGCCTATTGGATCAAGAGGGATTTGGGGAGTCAATTTCTCCGGAGTTTCCATTGATCCAAATTGGGCGAATTGCAGCTGAGACTTAGTCTGTGGTCAGATGGGGATTTGTCTGCTGTTTGGTCTGGAGATGGGCTTGTTTGCTGCTTTGTATGACAATCGCACAGCATAATTGTTGGAGTGAACCATCTCATCCCCAGGGCATTCCTACCTGCGCCTCTCTTGGTCCCTGTAAGCGTCTACTACTTTTTGGTGCAGGTAAGATCACTCCACTTTGGTTTGTTTTTAGTGTATGTGATTGTGGAAAATGAACCAAAGCAAGCTTGCTGCGGTCAACTTCCCTTTTCAGTTTCTCATACTGTGATGTGGCTTAGTCACTTCACAATATTGGGAAATTAAACATTTCCTCTGTTCCATAGAGGGACAGAGGAAGTAAGAGTTTGTTGTTTTTTTTAAAAAAAACTGTATTAGGATAGTGGTAATGTATCATGTTAAAAATAATAATAATTGAAAACATCTTCCTGGAAGCAGAAAGAGAAAGGACGGGGCAAGGATTTTTTTTTTTTAATTGTAGTTTTCAAAAGACAGATAAAATATGATTGCTTGAGGTGCATACACCGTTTGGATGGAAGGACTGCATTAAATGGTATACTGGATCTCTACCCAAATGGAAGTGACCCTGTTTATCCCCAGCCAGTCTCCTCCAAATGAGCCTGTGTAGACAAGCTTTAGTACATCAGGCAAAATCCAAAGAAACAAAATGAAATGACAAAAACATGTGGCATGTTAAAAACCTTAGCACAGTAAGTCACAACTAGAATAGGCCCATTACAACCGATGAAACTTTAGGAACTGACTCACTAAATCCCTGTTGACTCAATCCCTGTTAACTCTTGAACTACAGTGGTGCCCTGCATATGTGAAAACTTTGCTAAACGGAACGGGGAAGCCCATTGGAAAGCATTAAACATTGTTTAATGCGTTCCAAATGGGCACAAAACTCACCGTTTAGCGAAGTTTCTGGGGTCCGGCAGCCATTTTCGCGCCCTCGGTAAGCAAGGGCAGGGCGCGAAATCACCATTTTGGGCGTCCGGCGGCCATTCTGAAACCGCCGAACAGCTGATCTGCGGGCGTCGCAAAGCGAAGATCGGTAAGCTTACCGATCTTCGCTATGCGAGTTTTGCCCATTGGGGCCGACGCTATGCCTCCGCATTAGCGATCCCAAAAACGGGATCGCTATGCAGATTCGTCGTTATACGGTGCGCTCGTTAAGTGAGGCACCACTGTACTCTAGTGTGTTTTACTATGCTAAGCAACAGGATTTTGGCCTCTTACATTTATTCCATGCTGGCTGGATAGCCCAGTGAGTGAGGTATTGAACTGTATAGCCAAAGGTTGGGAGCTCAATTCCCCACTGCGCTTCCAGGAAGAAAAACCAGCCTGTGTGGCCTTGGGCAAGCTGCACAGTCCCAGAATGTCCCCCAAAGAAGAGAATGGTAAACCACGCTTGAGTATTGTCTACCTAGAAAACCATGAAAAGAGTCACCACCAATCAGAATTTATTTGACAGCACACAGTTAGTAAAATGCAGTCAACACAGTTTAAAAGAATGACATCAATCAGCACACAGTTATTATGTATTTATTTGAGAGAGGCGAGATTAATGTCCAGGTGAGGATAGAGAGGATAAACAAAGTAAGAATGGTCCACTCACACAGAAGTGAGTCTATCAAAATGTTATTTAGCAGATGCTAGCCAGGCTGCTAAGCTAGGTAGATGTGGCTTTCATAAGAATGTTAATAATTGTTTATGAGACAGAAGTCAGAGTCTGTCATGGGAGATAGCTGTTTTATACACATATAATGTTAAAGGAATCTGGGTTATTATATGAAGTGCGCTAAGCAGGACAGAGATCTGACATCAGGAATGGCGAAAAAGAGAGACCAGATTCAGAACAGCTTCTCAGGAGAATCTGTTACAAATCTGAGTGGCCGTTGTAGAAAAAGGGAGTTATAAAGGGGGCTTGGGAGGGAGACAAGAGAAATTAGCTATATGAATAAGTCAGAGTGCATTCCTCAGGGCCTAAACAGAGGAGATTAAGACTACTAGACTGAGGGAGTCCTCTGAAACAGGTTTAGGAGGCACGGCAGACTGCAGGAGGGAAGTCAGATCACGTTGTCTGACAAAAGCATCAAGATAAAGAAGATGTATGATTGACACTGTTGGATTCTTGCCGTCATCCTCAGCCTAACACGGCACACGTATATCCATAACCAAGCATTCCAGGCAGATTTCATTGGGACCCCACTAAGCTGAAGGTCATATCAATCACACACATTTTATAGAAAAGAGCAAATAATGTTGTTGATCCTGTCTTTCTCCACAGCCATTGGGAAATGCAAATAACGTACTTCCCAGAGTGAAGTAAGCAGAGAAACAATGGATTGTGCAGCTTAGGCTATATAAAGGGATGAGCAAGCTCTGTAGTGGGAGCCGTAGAATCCTGTCTACCTCAGGTGAGTAAGGTGTGTTGAAGCATGGCAACGATGTTGGGTGAGTTTAAATATTAGGTAGTCTGTATATTCAATGTGAACACGACAGTGAATTGCCAGGGTAAGGCACCTTGTATATCAGGATGATTTGAGTGTGGCTACTGCAGTTATCTTAGAGAAGGTTCCAGGTTCATTTCCTGTTTAAAAGGAACAAAAGAAGAGAAACATATTGGCTAAAATCCAGTAATAAGTCACAATGAAGCCCATTGGAGGAGCTGAGTCGCCAAATCCCCACTGATTCAGTGAGCCCACTCCAGTTGTGACCTACCGATGGAATTCATCCCTTGAAAATACTTCAGCATCACACTGAACTGAAGGCAATATTGTTTCTAAGGATGCTCACAGACCTTCTCAAACTTTATGAGAAAAGTGTCAACCACTCCATGATATTTCACTCCTCCATCAAGAGAGAAAAAGACCATTTTTAAAGGCGCAGCGGGATTAACAAAAAGAGACTAAATTTTGTGTGAACTTTGTATTTTGCATAAAATGTATTTTGGCAATTGTAGTCCACACACATCTGGGATGTCTAGTGCAAGTGAGTGGCTTGTTTTAAACCATAGTTTAGAAGAATGGGAATATCCCCTGTATAGTCATCTAGAACCATGGTTATCAGAAGCAACCAGAAAGCATTTGCTTCTGTTCTGCTTAACCACCATCTGTTGCCTGGCTTGAACTGATAAACTGTAGTTAGTATTAACTATGGTTTGTTTGTAACAAGTCAATTGCAAATGAGGGGAGCTAGTTTGTTTCAATAAAACATAGTTTACATTAACAGTAGTGTAGGGTTCTGATGCAATGCTAAAAATAATATTTCTACATTTTCACCTTACCTATGGATTGGTGTCTGCAATTTAAAAAAAAGCAAATCAATGCCATATTTTGGTCTTGCATTTGTTTCTTGGACAATGCCTTGGGACAACTTAGCACCGCTGTGGCCTAAGAATTTAATTAGTCACTAAGAAGCAACAGGACTGTTTTCACTTTTCTGTGACTATCATTCTTGTGAATTAAGTACTTCAGAACCATACAGATAGCAGCAGCCACCATACAGGTGTGGAATTATGGCAGACCTCCAAGTTTGCTTCAGACTTGTTGATGTGGCTCAAAGTGTATCCAAGAGAGTCATCTTAAGTGGTCCCTTTCTCATCTTTTTCTGTAGCCATGAGGTGGGTAAGAGTCTTCCTTTTCCTCTTCTGGATCTGGAACTCAGCATCATGGGGTGAGTATTAACACACATGTATGACCATACTTTTCTCTCTAAGGGCAGGGTGAAATTGCTCTTGCCCCAGTTTAAGAATGTTTAGAAGCCGGAAAAAGAGTTATGAGTCTTTCTCTTTTAAGATTTATTTTAGTTTATTGAAAATATTTTTACCCCGCCTTTCTCCTTAAGAAGGACACAAGGCAGGTTACATTATCAAAATACACAGTTGAAAAGTAGAAATAGTAAGTATACAAATACTAAAAAAGATCAAACAGATACCATACTAAAAGACACCAAACAAAGACAGAATCAAAAATGTATTCAAAGCTATGAAGTACAACCATCCATAAACAAAACAAAACAGAACAAAAACCAATAGGCTGCCAGTCAATGAGAGAAAGCTTGCCTGAAGAGAAAGGCCTTTGCCTGCTTGTGGAAAGACAGCAAAGACGGGGCCAGTCTGGCCTCCAGTGGGAGGGAGTTCCAAAGTCTGGGACAAGCAACTGAAAAGGCTCTCTCCCATGCGCCTGTGAGGGTGGTGGGATTAAGAGAAAGGCCTCTCCAGCTGGGCAGGCTCGTAAAGGAAGATGTGACCCTTGAGATACCTTGGACTCAAGTTTTTTGAGAAGGTTAGCTTCAGTCTTGTCCTTCTCACAGGCAAGGAGATTGGCGGACTTCTCCAGTGGCCTCTCCAAGCCTGGGAAAGCACTCCCTTCTATAGGAGGCAATGTTGGCCCTCCCAACAGAGAGAAATTTCCTTTTTCTGAGTTCCCGGAATCACCCTCCGCTTGCTTGGCTATCTTTTGGGGTTATACAACATATAGAAAAAACAGAGATGGACATGAACCATGAACATGGACTGAAAAAAAAAAAACCCACCCATGAACTGAGCAGGTTCATGGTTCAGTCTGCGGTTTGTTTCGTGCAAGAGGTTTTGTGGAAATGAAATGAAGTACTGAACGTTTCTCCTGTTAGTGCTTCATTTTCCTTTGGCAAAATGAATGCCCATCCACCTCCTTCCCACTGCCCCATCGCCTCCCTACCTGGTCTTGTTGCCTCCTTCTCCTCCCCCTCCATCATCACCACTGCCACCTTGAAAGACAGCTGCCTGACTTCCCTTCCAGCAGCAGGGGTCCATTGTCTCAGCCCAGGGTGGTCGGGGGGGGGGGTTCGGGGGAGGGTTGGGTGCCTGAGCACAGGCAGAGCCCAAGCTTCTGGATTGTGGTTTGTGGTTCATGGACAACTATGGACCGTGAACTACCACAAAACACCATTCTTCAGGTTTGTGCCCATCTCTAATAGAAACATTTCTTTCTGTATGGCCCGTATGACAAGGAAATTACAGTTGTGCCTCGCTTTACGATTACCCTGTTTAACGGCGAATCCACTTGATGGTGAGTTTTTGCGATCGCAACGATGGCTTGAATGGGGGTTTTCCGCTTTGTGATGATCGGTTCCCTGCTTCGGGAAGCGATGTTCGCTTTTACGATGATCAGCAAACAGCTGATAGCTGGATTTCAAAATGGCCACCAGCTGAAGGAAATGGTCCCCTGCTGTGCTTAGGGACTGATTCCTCGCTGCACAGGCATGGAAAATGGCCGCCCCTATGGAGGATCTTCGCTGGATGGTGAGTTTTCAGCCCATTGGAATGCATTGAGCAGTTTTCAATGAGTTTCAATGGGTTTTTAAATTTCGTTTGATGACGTTTTCGCTCTACAGCAATTTCGCTGGAACGAATTAACGTCGTCAACCGAGGCATCACTGTAGAATGAAGCGATTTCTAATTTATGTGCAAGAATACATATGACCTCCCAGTGTTCCCATCTGAATGGTAAGAGGCTGATTTCTCTTCCAAAAAGTGTGGAAGACAAATGTTTTTGTCCGATCCTGGGAGTGAGAAACAAGAGGCACAACAGAGAATTGGATGTGCTTTCTGGCTAAGAAGATTCAAGGAAATCTGCAGTCCTGGCACCCAGACAAGAACACGGTGTGTTCTTTCATCTCCTCGCTGTTCTACTTGGGTGACCCTGTGCTGATCCTTCTAGAAACAAACTGAGATCATGCCTCATCAGAAGAACAAGGATGTTGATATTCCAGGGGAAATGTCAAGAATACAGGAGTATGACACATTTAAAATTAGCACTACACCTCTGCCGGCTTCCAAAAAGGGTATTTATTATGCATACATATCACAGCATCAGTTTGTCCCCAGAATGTTTAGCCAATATTTTTCCAAGTTTAAAACACTCCCCCTGCCATGGCATAGCTCCTGAAGGCTGCCTCAAGAAGAATCGGATCTGGAAAAAAGGTTTTATTGCCCTGAAACAATGGCTGCGGTGGCCATCACTGACCTCATCCTTGTTGCCTGGCAAACAGTTGTGCAACAGGATTTAAGTCACTGTGTTGAAGAGGCCCCCATGTACTGGTGCTTAATGAGGAAGAGATGGTGCTGGATATCTGGAAGCTGCAGGATCAAAAAGAGAGCCATAGGCTAGAAGAAGAGAGTATAGTCTAGTGGTTAGTGTATTGTCCTGGGACTTGGCAAAGGCCAAAGACCTAAATTAGCCCTGAAACTCATGGGGTCTCTCTTCACCTGTGCTAGTTCAGGAAAAGGAAAACTAGTAAATGGAGAAATAATGAAGAGGTAGTGGAGTGTGTGCAAGTCTTCAGGAAAACTAGTAAATGGAGAATTAATGAAGAGGTAGTGGAGTGTGTGCAAGTTGCTACTATCACAGAATCATGAAGCTGGAAGGGGGCCTATAAGTCCATCGAGTCCTACTCCTTGTTCAGTGCAGGAATCCAAATCAAAGGATATGTGTCAGGTGGTTGTCTAAATTTCCCTTGAATGCCTCCAGTGATGGAGCGCTCACCACCCCCTGAGGTCATTCCTTCCATTGCCATACAGTTCTAACAGTTAGGAAGTTTTCCTTGATATTCAACCGAAATCTGGCTTCCTGTAACTTGAGTCCATTGTTGTGTGTCCTGCACTCAGGGATGATTGAGAGCAAGTTCTGTCCCTCCTCTGTATGACAGCCTTTCAAATACTGTATTTGAAAAGTGCCATCATATCACCTTTTGTTTCTGTCCATGGAGTTTTCTTGGCAAGGATACTGGAGTGGCTTGGCAGTTCCTGCTCCAGGTGGATTGCATTTAGTCAGAACTCTCCACTATGACCTGTCTGTCTTGGGTGTATACTTGTATACACACATGCACGCACACACACACGCGCACTACTTGTATACACACATTGCACGCACACACGCACGCATGCACACAGATGGTTGATTCAGCCCTCGGTCCTTCCAGGTCAGTAAACTGAGTACTCAGCTGAGTACTCAGGGGGTCAAAGTGTTCTTTGTATAATAACAAAGTTTAAAAATGCAAAGTGTTCTTTGTATAATTATGTTGTAAACTGCCCAGAGACGGCTTTAGCACAATGGGGCATTATATAAGTCAAAACAACATCAACAACACACAGACACACACAGAGGAAGAGAAAGGAAATGGATTTCAATGTGTTTATTAAAGGATCCCTTAATATTTTCTGAGAAGAAATGTTTTTTTTGGTAGAATTGGTTCCCCCCTCACCCCCAACTGAAGTTTAGGCACAAATCCCATGAGCCCCCTTTTGCCCAAGTTGGGAGAATGGGGCTAGGAACCTTTGGTGCATCTGAAGGAGCCATTTCAGATGTGGATGTCGTTATGCCTGTGGGCAGCTCTTACTCTCTGAACAGACAGGCTAAAGGAAGAGTTTCTGCTTTGGGGATAGCGCATCTGCCCCTTTCCCTCACTTCCCCTGGCCTTTCAGTACACGGGGGAATCATGTAGAGAAATATGTGAGGAAATGTGCTCCAGGTTTTGCAATGTTTTGCCCTGAGAAGCCAAGTCGGCCCCCTCCTTCTTGTCCTTCGGTCATCTGGCAAAGTCCTTCCTCTTCAGGCAGGCTTTCAAGCCGTAAGTAGGGAAATATGTGAGGAAATGTGCTCCCAGGTTTTGCAATGTTTTGCCCTGAAAAGCCAAGTCGGCCCCCTCCTTCTTGTCCTTCGGTCATCTGGCAAAGTCCTTCCTCTTCAGGCAGGCTTTCAAGCCGTAAGTGTCTCAGGATTGTGTTGTTTATTAACGTACAGATTTTTAAATCTTTTAAATTTTTTAAATCTTGTTTTAAGTCTTGATAATTTTTTTTCTTATGATACTTATGCCACATTTTAAAATTTGTTGTTTTTCTACTTTTTGTTGTTATGAGCTACCTCAGGTCCCCTATGGCGTTGGTCTCTAACCTTGGGTCCCCAGATATTCTTGGACTGAAACCCCCAGAAGCCTTCCCCACTAGCTGGGTTGGCCAGGATTTCTGGGAGTTGTAGTCCAAGAACATCTGACTCTATGGATAGAAAGTCAGCATATAAATAAATTAATAATAAAATATATCTTTGTGTTTCTTTTTGAAAGGATAAGTTCCATACGTATCTTCCAAGTGCAGCTTGCAGTCAAAAATTTGTATATCTTAACATGTTTGATTTCTTCCACAGGAAATATGCTTTAAAACAAACCACTGCCAAATCATCTCAGTGATAGTGAGACATTTTTAAAATGGCACAAAGAAAGAGGCTTGCTTTTCTAAATTGTGCAGAGACATGTTTTATTCAAAGGATGCGTGCTAGAAATGGGCATGAACCACTGCTTTGGCAGTTCGTGTTAGTTTATCTCCTCAGCCCCGCCTCCTCTGTCAAGCACCCGCTGAGAGGAGGCGGTGCAGGGAAGCTGGGGTGCTGCCTCTGAGTGGGTGCCTGCCAGGGGAGGCAGGGCTGGGAAGCACTGAAAACCCGTTTGGATGAAAAATGAACTGGCACGAACTGCCAAACTGGTGCTTCCTGCCCATCTCGAGTTCGTGCATCTAAAAGGCATGTGCTTGAGTGGCACGAACTGGTGCTTCCTGCCCATCTCTAGTTCGTGCATCTAAAAGGCATGTGCTTGAAAACAGAAATAGAAAGAAAGAAAGAAAGAAAGAAAGAAAGAAAGAAAGAAAGAAAGAAAGAAAGAAAGAAAGAAAGAAAGAAAGAAAGATGACCATTACCATTATAACATGTACAGATTTCTGAGTCAAGAGGAAAAAAAATCGCAGAAACAGGTTTGCTGTGGAAAAATGAGAAACTTGACACGGTTGTCGTTTAATAGGATCTGGGACACTTTGTAATTATAATTGAAAAAAAAACAAAGAGTAACTAAAAAGTAATTTGTGAGTAACAAGCAGTGAATGAGGAAAATGAATCTTATTTCAAAGGAGTGAGTCATTATTTTTTAAAAGCAGTTGTTCCAGCTTGTGCTCCCATTCCCTAAGCATGTGAACAAGCTCTATTCCTAGCTTAGGACTGTATCTTCCTGTCGCTGCAAGCAATCCTTCCAATAACAAGCTACTGCTGGTCATTCAAATTTCCCGCCTTTACTAGAAAATTTGAATTATGTAAATGCTTAGGAAATTGGAAGTGAAAGGAGTGTGCATGACTTCCTGGGATGCAGTGATGGAACTGGGTTCTAATCCCCACTCAGACATGGAAGGTAACTGGGGGTGTGGGACTTAAATATCTCACGTACCTTGAAAATTCTATTAGGGTTGGTTCCAACTTGAGGGCACAGAACGACGACGACATTTCCTAAGAGGTTTGGAGTGTTGGTTTCATTTCCATATATACAGGACTGCTCTGGGCAAGATACAATCCTGTGTTCCCTCAGCACTGTTTTCAAGGGTCCTGGTCCTCCTCTGGTCCTTCTTCCCACCCACCCCACTAAGCAGCACCTCACTTTTTGAATATTTCATAATAGCCTCTACATCACTTGATACCCCCAATGACCCTGTTTTTAGACCTGTAAAACTGGAATTCTAGCGCACTTCTTTGGGGTGGGGTAGGTATGTTCTTTTTGTGTATGTGCCTGGCATTTATGGCACTCTGTGGGAGGGGGGCAGATGGACACAGAGGCATAAAATAGGCTACCAGACCTATCAAAACGGTTCCCCATTTTTTTTTAAAGAAAAGAGTTAATATAGAGGTGGAGTATTAAGGGAAAAGCCAGGGGCTATTCAAGTATCTCACAGCTTATAGTAAATGCCTTGCTAATGAAGACTGACATTGTGTGTTCAATAGAGGTGTGCAGATTCATAGTTCAGACTACAGTAGGAATTTGTTCTCTGTGGGGAATCAGTTCCAATTGGAAAAATGCTAAGGCAGCAAATTCTATATGATGTATGCAGTCTCTGGCTCCATCTAGTGGCCAGTTATGGTAAGTTCACCCTGAAAATACAGTAGGGCCCACTTTATCCACATGATCTGTGTCTGCTAATATTTCCGTGGTCTGGAAATATTACAAATATTAAAAGAAAACTCATAGAAAGATATATTTCCAAAACTGAAGTTACCAGAACTGTCCACTAGAGAGAACTAGGGTTCATGCTATGTATAGCGTTTGCTAGACGTGGGGACGAATAAAAAAACGGATCTCAACATTCGTGGAAAATTGCTGAACTGTTAAATATTTGTCCCTTCATATTCGTGGGTTCCAGAGACCCCCACGAATATGAAGGGACAAACATTTCCCCATTTTATTCATCCCTTCATAAAAAATAAAACAAAACCATTCTGCTGATAGGCAGCCACCCACCGCCACAGCCTATCCCCACCCCTTCCTCTCCCTACCTTAGCCCCCACCCCCGCCGACACCCCCTTACCGTAATTGCCGCTGCCGAGATCTCCATCAGGCGTCCGCAGCCATGGCGTGTAAAAACAGAAACAGCTGCCAAATTTGCAAAGGGCAGCCAGTTTCCCTTTTTATATCCTGGGGCTGGGGAGGCCTGATGGAGACCTTAGCAGTGGCGGTGATGATTATGG